CGCAAAAATATTGCTGGGCCGGGCATAGTTTTAAGGTTTTTTTTTTTCTGGGAGCATCGCTGGTGCCACCAGCCTGTCTTGCCGGAGGGCGACGCTGGGAGCGATGATGACGAAGACGACGATGTCGATCCCGCCAGCACGACCGTGACCGCCGGCCGTACCAAGAGAGAGCGCCCGATGTGCCATTGCCTCCCAAGTGGTCTCGCTCCCAAAGACAAGGAGGGTGGCCGCCCCCGTAAGAAGCAGAACGTGCCGGGGAATGGCCAGACCAGCATCCCGATGTACTTTCAAAACAAGCGATAAACAGCCGTTGCCACGCACAAATCCCCCAGCAGCCCCCCTTTTATATGGGTGTTTTGCGTGCGTGTTTTTTTTCCGTATTTGGCGTGCGTATCGGGCTCAGTGACATCTCCCGTCTTCATAGGCCTTCTGGTTTCGGAGTTATGGAGGTTTTGGCACCCCCGGGTCACGATGGTCACCGCCAATCGATTCAAATGAAGACTCAAGGAAAATAACAGCGGTCATCGATGCAACAGCAGGCGCTGCTGCTGGTGCTGTTATACTGGTGGGAACCTCCTCGATACACCAGCCCACAGGGGATCATTGTGTCCGTCCGTCGTGCATCCAAAAATAGGAGGGGAGGGGCTCGGGTGGGGAGGGAGGGGCTGGGTGGGGAGGGAGGGGAGGGAGGGGAGGGTGGGGAGGGAGGGGAGGGTGGGGAGGGGCTGGGTGGCGAGGGTGGGGCTGGGTGGGGGGTGGAGGGGTGGAGCTGGGTGGGGAGTGGCTGGTCACCCCGTGGTGCCCTTATAAAACTCAACGTTTCACCTACTCACGCCGGCTTGTGCCCGCCCTCACAGTCGGGCATATTGTGCGGAATACACCACGTGGTGCCGCCGTTGACCCTGGCCATTGACCGAGCAACCCAACGTTCCTACCAGCTCCCTCCGCAGGAGAATGTGTAAAGCGAAAACGACCACGTGCAAAAGCCGGGGCAGGATGCGTTACGAGAGCAGCTGATGAGAGATGAGAAGGGAGCAAGGGCAGACGACGTCGCAGAGGTCGGGAGGTCATGGCCGGATTAAGATTCTTGTAGGCCCTAGGCACTTCAGTTTCGTTAGGCCTTGATGCATAATCGAGGTTTTTTTTCGTGGGTTAGATCACGTAAATATATAAATGTGTCGTTAAAACTCGCCACCACCCGACATAGCCAACTAGTAAGGGGTTGTTACGTAAACAGAACGCGGCCAATTCGTCACTAGCACAGCACTAGTGTGTAGTGTATAGTGTAGTGTATAGTAGTGTAGTGTATAGTAGTGTATAGTGTAGTATACTAGTACAGCACTAGTGTATAGTGTAGTGTATAGTGTAGTATACTAGTACAGCACTAGTGTGTAGTGTATAGTGTAGTATACTAGTACAGCACTAGTGTGTAGTGTATAGTGTAGTATACTAGTACAGCACTAGTGTGTAGTGTATAGTGTAGTATACTAGTACAGCACTAGTGTGTAGTGTATAGTGTAGTATACTAGTACAGCACTAGTGTGTAGTGTATAGTGTAGTATACTAGTACAACACTAGTGTGTAGTGTGTAGTATACTAGTACAGCACTAGTGTGTAGTGTATAGTGTAGTATACTAGTACAGCACTAGTGTGTAGTGTATGTTGTAGTATACTAGTACAGCGCCACCAGTTGTGTGTTGGAGAGCCAAGCCACAACATTTACAATCTTGAGTACGACGTTTCGCCGGTAATTACAGCCAGCTTCATCAGGCGTCAGCCAGATTTGAGTGATAACTCTCTTCAGTTGCTGCTGCCCCATGTCACTCTCGAAAGCTGATACACAAAAGCAACTTGTCTCCGATCCACCATTGGACAACAAGGCCGCTTTGTGTTCTCTTGCACCGCTCTCCGTTGAGAAGGAGATTGTGCGGAAACACACAAATTGAAGGCGTTAAGGGGCCGTCCATAAATGACGTCACGCGATTTTAGACAATTTTGACCCCCCCCTCGTCGCACGGCGTCACAAAATGTTAGACCCCCCCCCCCCACCTCAAATATGACGTCACAAGGCTCTGCCCCCCCCCAAAAAAACAATATTAAACATGTTTCAAATCGCTTTAAGCTACTGTCATTGTAGTGCGTGTTTAATGTGCCGCTGCACTCTGATGTTGTAGGAGAAAACATTTATTAAAAAGTCTATTTAATTAAGTAGAACGTTTTGATTTAAAGCTTTCGTGACTGCAGGGATTCATATAAAACAATAAAATTCTCACGACGTTTCAACTGCAACACAAGCAATCATCATCAGGTGTGAAAACCACCGCAATAATTTTATTGTTTTATAGTTTTTATTATTTTATTGTTTCCCTTCTATGTGACTTTACCGAAAGAACCAAGAATATAAGTAGAACGTGTTGTCTATATTTATTTAAAGTTGCGCATTTTGTTGTGACGTCACATTTCTCACCCCCCCCCCCCCTCGTCGCACATCGTCACAAATGTCTGAACCCCCCCCCCAGGTGCGTGACGTCATTTATGGACGGCCCCTAATTGCTAATTTTGCAATAAAAAAAAGTCTCCAAAAGTTCATCTCCGGTGTAAGTACGTCTCACCTTATGAAACAATAAACTTTTGACAAGACTCTGCCTTTTTGTATACAGACTCTGCCGATCCTTGCTATATACATAAATATATTGATTCCAGAAGATATCTTGGTTACATCATTTTTTTATCATACAAAAAATAACACGGTCACGTATATTTCCTAGGCCCCTTTTAGTGTTTCGAAGGCCCTAGACACGGTACCTACCTGTGTGGCCTTTGGGATAATACGGCCCTGCAGGAGGCTACGACTGATCGCCTGCCCTCTGGGAAAAGGAGGGAATGGGAATGAATAGGGGGAGGGGAGGGGAGGCATTTGCCAGCAGTGGAGAGTCATCTACGGGACCTTTTTTTGCCAGTATCAAAATGATGAGAGAGAAAAAAAAGAATAGGCCTTTCCCTTTCTGGCAATAAAATAGGTGTTGTGTTAAAATGTTCAAACACCAGATAGATTCCCATTTCAGTTACCGACTGATGACAACACAGATTCGTATATGCACCCATAGGCTGGTACAGAAACCCATAGACTGGTATAGAAACCCATAGACTCGCACAGAGACCAATAGACTCGCATAGAGAGCCGTAGACTCGCACAGAAACCCATAGACTCACACACAGAGCCAGAGACTCGCACAGAGACCCATAGGCTCACAGAGAGCCATAGACTCGCACAAAGACCCATAGACTCACACAGAGACCCACAGACTCACAGAGAGCCATAGACTCACACAGAGACACATAGACTCACACAGAGAGCCATAGACTCACACAGAGACCCATAGACTCGCACAGAGACCCATAGACTCACACAGAGACCCACAGACTCACACAGAGACCCATAGACTCACACACAGACCCATAGACTCACACAGAGACCCACAGACTCACACAGAGAGCCACAGACTCACACAGAGAGCCATAGACTCGAACAGAGACCCATAGACTCACACAGAGAGCCACAGACTCACACAGAGAGCCATAGACTCGAACAGAGACCCATAGACTCACACAGAGAGCCACAGACTCACACAGAGAGCTATAGACTCGCATATATACCCAGAGACTCGCAAAGACATCCATCCATCGACTCACTAAGGTAAGAAAATAATGTAAGAACATAGCTGGGTGGGGGGGGGCGGGCAGAAGGAGGATGTTACAGAACGATAAGGAGCCGCACATGATCAGAATCGTGCACTCGTGGCCTCGGTTGTGGCCGCGTTGAATGTTTGTGGCCTGCTCGTCCGCTATCTGCGATCGTGAGCGTTCTCCCGGAGAAAGGGGGAAGAATCGCTCGCGGGATGGGACGGGCAGACTCGTGGGTCTGCGAGTGACGGGCACGAGCAATGCCTACGGAAGATGTGAGGTGCGGAGCCGGGAACGTCGGAGGTCCTGGATTAGGATTGGAGTTTCAACCACCCTCGACTGAACTGGGTTTCCAAGAGTCAGCGATTTGATAAACTGTTTCAACTTATTATTTCACCGGGTTAGGCTCGCTGAGCCGTGTAGCTTTTTTTCAGAAGCGACCTGGCCGCAAATGATCGCTCAACGAAGTGGGCTTTTAGTGTGGAAATTGTATCGCAGCCAAATACTCCAAACGCGTCGCGATGTCGACTCTAAATTTGGAGGGAAAACTCGAGAGGACCCGGAGAAAAATCCACGTGACCACGGACAGAGAGAGAGAGAGAGACACCAATTCTAGATTTGAAGCTTTCGTGACTGCACGGATCCATACTCTGTGGTTCTATTCGGTAAAGTCGCGTAGGTAAAAATAAAATAACAAAAAATCACGACGTTTCGGCCACAACACAAGTGGCCTTCATCAGGTGAAGGGACTGGACTGTCTAGAGGACGGCGTTGGAGTGAAGACAGCAAGCCCAGGTCGCGTCCTCACTCCAACGCCGTCCTCTAGACAGTCCAGTCCTTCACCTGATGAAGGCCACTTGTGTTGTGGCCGAAACGTCGTGATTTTTTGTTGTTTTATTTTTACCTACGTGACTTTACTGAATACAACCAAAGAGTATAGAGAGAGACACCGCAAACTCCCAAATATACAGCAGCAGGTGTCAGGGTCTGGATCGAACCCACGACCTCCTGTATACCAGGGGAGGTAGTTAACATCTCCTAGACACCGTGGCGCTCTCGATAAACTTGGCCTGGTCACTAATGAGTGCGCGAAAAAAAGCTCCTTGCGAATGCATTTGTTTTTTTGCCCTCCCCACTAAACTTAGCAAAAATCCCAGCCGCGAGAATTATAAACGTTCAGTTGTACCACCACGCGATGGATATCTCTGTAGCAGAGCGCGTGGGAAAGTGCAGCGCTCTCCGCGTGCGGTTAAGCAATCACTTGGAATGGGATCTCGGAAGCAGTTCTGTGACAGCTTCTTCCACGAGCCGTTCTCTTAACACAATTCGGAAACCGAAACCGCGAAGAAGAAGAAGACGACAACAACGACGAACGTGGAGCGAAGCGTCTTGACGTCCAGCCAGAGCAAGACGACTCGGAACAAGCCGAGCGTGCTTCGGACACCAATGCAGCACAACCGCGAACACACAACAACAACAACAAACTCAATCTCTGTGGTTCTTTCGGTAAAGTCACGTAGCTAGAAAAAAAGAAAAAATAATAAAAGAAAAGAAAACAACGTTTCGGTCGCAACACAAGCGTCCGTCTTCAGGTGTGAAAATTTTTTATCTGCTGTTGTGGCTTTATTTCGACACGGGAGGAGAGAGCGAAAGGGGGGGGGGGGGGGCGGGGGGAAGGATTGCCTATATAAAGCCACAACAGCAGATTATTTTTTCACACCTGAAGACGGACGCTTGTGTTGTGACCGAAACGTCGTGTTTTATTTTATCATGTTTTTTTTTTTATCCACGTGACTTTACCCAAAGAACCAGAGAGTATGGATTCCTGCAGTCACGAAAGCTTCAAATCAAGATTGAACAACTCAATCATTCAAAGTCATTGCTGAGCAGGGGATTGCTCCCATTGTTACCACCACCACCACCACGTGCACCGCCACCACCACCACCACCACGTGCACCGCCACCACCGCCACCACCGCCACCGCCACCGCGTTCTCCTGCCGCAGCTCCATCCACGCGATCCCACCAGGAGCGAGACTCGTTGTGCCTCCGCTGCGCGCGCTTGCAGCGGCACGCGCTGGCCACCGGCACCCTCGCCGTCCTCCGGTGACCCCCGGGGCAGCTCATGGGCACCCGGGCGACGCGCGTCGGTCCCGGCACGCAGCGCCAGGCGGGCCTGTGGCGACCGCGGGCGAGGTGCGCCCGGGTGCCGGCGGCCACGGCGAGGTTGGAGAGGACGCGGGAAGGGGCGCAGTGACCCGCGCACAGCACCTGCTTGAGCGGTCGCGCGCTCACGCAAGTGCCCTCGGTCACGTGTCGCGCGATGCGCACCTCTCGGCACCTGGGTTCTTCCTCTTCCTCCTCTTCTCTTTCGCTGCCTGGGACGCGGGGAGAAAGGAGCGGTGACGACGAGGCGCTGCGGATTGTTCCGAAGCCAGTCTGGGACAGCAGTGCCGGATTATCGTAGTAGCACAAGCGGCTACGTATGCAGTAGCTACGGTGCCACACGGCTACTACATTAGTGCTGTTGCTACTATGTAGTAGCTACGGGCGCCGCACTTTCAAGGGCCCATGCGCTAAACGCTTTCAAGCTATCAATTCCGGTTAAGTGATTCTGCACTTGCGCTATTACTACAGTACTATACCGCCTTCAACTTTTATGAACGACCGGGTGTTTAAGCTTAGCGATTTGTCGTATTATCTGGCTGTATAGCGAATGAAAAAAATACAATTACTTTACTATGCGAGTTAAAAATGTGTATTTTAATATTTACGTGTTTTTTTATTTAGGGCCACTTTATAACATCATATGCTACAGTCCCCGCACTTAGCTTAATCTGGGACTGTTGGGATGTGTGTGTGTTTTTTTAACCTTTCTCTTGAATCGATGCAGCTTTACCCCTTCTCTTGCTAGGAAGGATAAAAAACGAACCTTATTTTTTTTCCCTCCATCCCCCATCGTTTTTTGATGCTGGCAAAAAGGTCCCAACGATAGATTCGTCGCTGAAGTTAAATGACACTTCCCAGAAGGCCGTGTGGCCGATGGCTTGTGAAAGGATTATTACATTTCGATTTAAAGCTTTCGTGACTGCAAGGATTCATCTTCTTTGGTTCTTTCGGTAAAGTCACGTAGAATGAGAGTAAAATAATAAATTAATAAAATAAAATAACACAATAAAATTCTCACGACGTTTCGGCCACAACACAAGTGGCCTTCTTCAGGTGAAAGGAACAGACCTGAAGCTCTGTCGTCCCGACAGGTCTGTTCCTTTCACCTGAAGAAGGCCACTTGTGTTGTGGCCGAAACGTCGTGAGAATTTTATTGTGTTATTTTATTTTATTAATTTATTATTTTACTCTCATTCTACGTGACTTTACCGAAAGAACCAAAGAAGATTATTACATTATTGGGTCTTTCGGTAAAGTCACGTAGATAGGTTCAAAGAAAATAACAAAAATAATTAAAAAAACTACGACGTTTCGATCGCAACACACGCGTTTTGAAACATCGTAATTTTTTGTTTATTTTTTTTTATTTTCTTTGAACCTATCTACGTGACTTTACCGACAAACCCAAGAATATGAATTCCTGCATTCACGGAAGCTTTAAGTCAAGATTTAAAGGAGTATTATTATTGACTTCGTGGAGAGATTAATCAACGGAGGAGAGACGCGTAATCTGCTTATTTGTTTTGTATATTTAAATTGTCCAACACGGAAAGCAACGGCACCAGCAGTTATTTTGTGACGGTGTGCAGGGTCACTTGTAGAGAAATATTTCTTAAACTTGGCTTGATCACGTGGTTGAATGGCGCCTGTTGTTGTTGTTGGTGGTGGTGCAGGCTGCTCACGGGAACCTTGACGCGATCAATATTACCGTAGTCATAATACACGGGGGGGGGGGGGGGGTTGGGTTAGATCTCGTAAATATAAAATGTTTTCCAATCGCCTGATGAAGCTGGTTGTGCTGAGATTGTAAATGTTGTGGGTTTACTCTCCAACACAGCGGTGTGCTGAAGTAGCAGAGCTGTCAACCCATCACGGCCTACCCCGTGTTCTTGTACAGGGGAAATTGAGTTTTCAGGCCCACACGGCGTACAGACGTTTCAATACGGGCAACAAAAATGTGTCTATTTGTTTGTGTTTCTCCCTTGTGATGAGACTTTGTAGGATGAACGTTGAGATTTATAAGGGACACGGGGTGATCAATAAGGTCTGACTTGGTCTGTAATAAGGTAGGGGCACTGATAAGGGGTTGACAGGTTTGTAATAGTGTAGTGTATAGTAATGCAGTGTATAGTAGACTAGTGTATAGTGACTTTGTAGTATGAACGTTGAGATTTATAAGGGGCACGGGGTGACCAATAAGGTCTGAGTTGGTCTGTAATAAGATAGGGCACTGATAAGGGGTTGACAGGTATGTAATAGTGTAGTGTATAGTGTAGTGTATAGTAATGTAGTGTATAGTAGAGTAGTGTATAGTAACTTTGTAGGGTGAACGTTGAGATTTATAAGGGTCACGGGGTGATTAATAAGGTCTGACTTGATCTGTGATAAGGTAGGGGCACTGATAAGGGGGGTTGACAGGTATGTAATAGTGTAGTGTATAGTGTAGTGTATAGTAGTGTATAGTAGAGTAGTGTATAGTAACTTTGTAGGGTGAACGATGAGATTTATAAGGGTCACGGGGTGACCTGTGCGGTCTAACTTGGTCTGTAATAAGATAGAGCACTGATAAGGGGTTGACAGGTTTGTAATAGTGTAGTGTATAGTAATGCAGTGTTATATAGACTAGTGTATAGTGACTTTGTAGGATGAACGTTGAGATTTATAAGGGGCACGGGGTGACCAGTACGGTCTGACTTGTTCTGTAAAAAGATAGGGCACTGGTTAGGGGTTGACAGTTATGACAAACCTTACTAATTGTCCGCGCCGGGTGGCGGTGGGCGAATGACACACACCATGCAATGTACGCGATCCAACCCATGCAACCTCTGTGTCGCGATGAGCCTCCGACGCTTCACGTGGCCTCGAAGTGCACCGAGCCTGGCACAGGAGCCGTGGCGACGTGACCGCTTTTGCTGTTGGCGGCCGCAGCGGTGGTGCGGCGGGTTTAGCTCGCCGCACCACCACGAACCCAGCGACACCATCACCACCACCCCGAGTTCGATTCCCCACCCACGGCCACCGACACCACCGGTGACGGTTATCTGAAGCGGGTCCGGGGACATCAGCTAGGTCGACTCAGCCTCAAGTGAGTAGCTGCTGCGATGTGCGGTGAACATCGCCACTGGGAGGGGGGGAGACAAAGGCGCTCCGGCCTCAATAGGTGCTCGCTAACAGCACTTGCCCCCAAATAGTCCATTGAGGCTATACGGGGGGGGGGGGTGCATTGTCTTTTGTACAGTACACACGATTGTGTGAACCGGTCCTGGGCATCCCCTAGGTCGACTCAGCCTCAAACGAGTACCTGGTGTGTGTCAAACATCGCCACTGGCGAGAGACAAAGGCGGCCGGGCGTGGTGCAGCTCGCCACCCACCCACCCCCTCGTGTGCCACAGTGCCGGCTTTTACAGGTTGCCGCTACTCGCTAACAGCGCTTGCCCCCCCCCCCCAACAGTTTTTTTTTTATTTTAAATGAAGGCGACACGGTGGAGGTGGGGGGAGGAGGACGGAGTCGGAGGGAAATGTCACCCTTTCTTTGCGTGCCAGTCTGCTCAGGGCACCATTCCGTTTTACCTCGTGGATGAGACTCGGCTCCCGAGCCGGGCAGGTGGAGCAGTCGATGTCCCGCACGGTTCGGCGAGAGTCGCACCGGCAGCTGCCGCCGCTCGGAGGCTCCCCCGGCCTCGGGACCGCCGCGTTGCCGTCCCCAGGACTCCGTGTCCCCGTTGCTCGAACCCGGGCGCGAACCTCGAACCGCGAGCAGAGCTGCGAGCAGAGCGAGGAGAGGGCATCGCAGCGGCATCGCGGCGGTCGTGGTGGTCGTGGTGGTGGTGGTCGTGGTCGTGGTGGTCGTCTTCGTTCGCAGCGCACGTGGGGGAGACAGGGATATATCCACGTGCTGCGCGCGGGGCGACCTCTTCCAGGATCGGGACGGCGAATTATTGGGTTGGAGCGGTGCTGTATTCGGCACGTTTCACTCGAGGCCGACGATGTTGAAGATGATGTGATCCCCCCACTCCCCCCCCCCCGCCCGCCCCCACCGCTTTCTGTCACTCCACTGCTAGACTGAATTCGCTAAGAGTTTTGAGTATTACTCACAGGTTAGTAGAGCAATTTAGAGCCTTCCTGGGGTGGACTCAAAATTATCGGAATGTTCCGAGGCGTCGATGTAATATTTCGTTCTGTTCGTGCTAAATATCCGGTGTCTCGATGGCCGTGTCGACGAACGCCTTAAGAATTTGCATCGTGAATTCGCGACTCGGGTAACGAATGCGCATTGTCGATGTGTAACAGAATACTCTGTCTGTTCGCACTCTCTAGAAGGGCTCAATGAACAATGTCAATACTGCTCAATGTGTATACAATACAGCCATTGCACACAGATCTCTGTGTGTCCAGGAGTATCTAGGCAAACATGACTGCAGGCTGCCACAAACAGCACTCGCCTTTTAAGATACAGGCGTATATGGTGGACACAGTACTCTACGATACCACGTAGTACATAAACAACATTCTGCAGTCTACCATATACATGACGCACTACTCTATACCGATATATGTGTAGAACTACGAGCACAATGCATTACCTACAGAACACACAGTGCTTGTCGAGTACTCTACAGAACACACTACACTAATCGCAATGCTACATTGAGGACACACAGTACTAATCAACAAACAATCTATACAAACCACAGCCTATCATGCATCGAACAGACACAAAAAAAAGAACACGCACACAGTTACATACAAAACACATCCAACATAGAACAACAATGTTGCTGCTGCTGCTCCTTCGACGACTACTCTGCAGTGTGACTAATGCAGGATACGGAGACTACAAGGAGACACACACACACAGAGAGAGAGACTTTTCTCTACGCTAGAATAACATCTCCCCCCCCTCCACCCCACAATGCCTACTGCCCCACCAAGGCACCGGGCTTGGCTGTATAAGGGGCCTCGTTAATTGCAGGGGTGGGGAGGATGGTTGTGGTTGGGTTCAGGGCTTCGCGAAGGGCAGAGTGGGCGGCGGGGGGGGGGGTTGAAGCGACGGCTCCGTGTGGAGTCGTGGGATTTTTCTCCTCCACAAGAATTGTCTGCCCCGAGGTGGCGATTTTGGCTCGCAGCGGCCAAGCGTGCCAAGTACATGCCAGGGCAGTGAGAGACTGGTGTGTGTGTGTGGTTGAGGGGGGGGGCTGGCCCATTGGAGCCTCTAGCCAGACATTCATTTTGGAGAGACCCCCCCCCCCTCCCCCACTTTAATTTTAATGTAAACACTCATCAAGGAGTCAAAAACCATCGTCATACGAGCTCGGTCATCCTTGCAGCAGCAGCGGCGGTGGTGGTGGCGGCTTTTGGCTCGGCCATCGAACAAAGACGCGCTGTTTCACCGCATGGCGCGGCGCTTTCAGATGCGCTTCCGCGGCCGTCTGGAATGCTCTTCCTTCCGATATTAGGGAGTCACTGTAGCTGTGCAACTTTTAAATCATCATCTAGATTGAGAGCTCATTTCATTATAACTATTTTTTGTGTTTAGTTTGTTGTCCTACCTCCCGCCCGCCCGCTCACGGTTGGCTACGTACGGTGCGAAAGAAGTTCACTGTACATACATAGAGGAGATGCAGACGAGATATATAGAGATGGATGGAGTGAGATGAGAGGAGAGAGTTACGGATGAGACGGGCGATGTAGATACATGAGAGAGATGTAGACGAGAGACAGAGATGGAGTGAGATGAGAGAAGATCGACACAGAGTCAGAGAGACATGAGGAATATGCATTTGTTTAATTTGTAATGCTGGATTGTACTCAGTCGGATTTTAATTTCGGGCTCATGTTTGGTTCACCATTATATTCGGGGCTGAAGCGTTTTGCTAAGTTATCTTCTGCCCAGCGCCGCCACTGAACCCAAGCGACTCCACAGAGGGCAGGGGCCAATTTTTAGCTGAGAGATTTGGGTCCCAAACTCCCCAAAATTTAAATCCATGTGGATAATATACAGGGACTCCTCTACTTACGAACGAGTTAGGTTCCACATGGTCTGTTCGTAAGTCGATGTGTTCGTAAATCAAACTTTACGCCCGTTGATTCCAAACATGTTGTACGGCGTGTACACTAAACACAGGGAATGGCTTTAAAAGTTGTGTTATCTCCTGTAGATTTAGATGCCACCGGTTCTTCATGTTCTGCAGATGTAGATGCCATCACCGCCATCTATTGCACGGTGGTTGAACGAACCACTCGTGGTCCGAACGGGCAACTGGACATATGGACAGGTTTGTTCATATCTCTGAAAGTTCGTAAGTCGAATGTTCGCAAGTAGAGGAGTCCGTGTATATAAAAAATACTTTTCACGTTTGTCATTAATACTGTGGCCTTAAAAGAAAAAAATATATAATGGGCAACGTTTCGGGAAATGGCCCTTCTTCATAGCATGCCAGAGAGATGGCATCGATGATAAGAATTGGAGACTGCACTGAATACCATGGGACTCGAGACAAATTACATTTTTTTATGTTTCCTGTTTTTAATTAGGCGTATGAATAGTTACCTATTAGTGGCTATCGCGTAGCAGACAAATTCTTAAATAATCTGTGGACAATGGACAGCCGAGTGGCTCAGTCAGATCGCTGCTGAGATCCTATAGTTGTGTCCAGGCACTCACCATGATATAGCCACAAGTTTCTCAAGGCTAATGAGTGGATAGTGTCAGCCCAGTGACGAACAATTTATCACAATAATTGTGGTTTGTCACTAAATTCTGCACATTTCTGGCTCCGGCCGGGGTTCATGAAAATGAATCATTGGCTTCATTGTCACGCGAGAAGCCGCACCGACATCGAGTGTTGGAACAGAAGCATTTGATAGGACCTCCCATTAAGTTCCCGTGATATGGCACGACAGACAATAAAAGAAAACAGTTTTCGTTGAACTAGGACCCAGTTTCGATTTAAAGCTTTCGTGACTGCAGGGATTCATCTTCTCGGTTCTTTCGGTAAAGTCACGTAGAAGGGAAACAATAAAATAATAAAAATAATAATAAAAAGTGTGTTGTGGCCGAAACGTCGTTAGAATTTTATTATTTTATTTGTATTATTTTATTTCCATTCTACGTGACTTTACCGAAAGAACCCAGAAGATAGGACCCAGTTCTTGCAGAAAGGGCCTCACGCCCTGTAAACATCGGGCAGTGTCGCAAGCATTCGCTCAAGGAAACCCTGGCCCTGCTGACGAGACACCGAATGGCAGAACCGGTCCTGAATTTACCTTGTATAAAAAGGCGTTGTTGGGCTGTATCACGTAAGGGATACTTTTACGTGGACGGACAGATATTACATTGCAAGAGGTGCCTCTCTGACATGTGGCAGGGTTACAATGCTGTCCGCGGGACCTCAAAGTGTAGCTCCCCTTCTTCACGTGGCATGGCGCCAATAGTACAATTGGAATATAATTGACGGGAGGGGGTGGTGGGTAAAAAGACAAACAACATTCACCGCCATCGCCCTACTGAGCAAATGGGACCGTGGGTAGCCAGTGTTTAGAGAAATGTGTGAGCAATTAGCTCATTAGACTCTGTCTCAGGCGATATATACACACGGTGTAAAGTGCAAGCGGTGCTGCGGCATGCAAAACAGAGCAGGAGTATTTTTCTTTGATATATATAGAAAATTCAATTTTTCTGCTCAAACTAGTCATGGGCATGTATGTATGTTTAACTTCATACGCACCGTACGTAGCCAACCGTGCTGATCGGAGGTGCGGCGGAAGGAATTGGAGGTGCGGGTGGTGCTTGTTTCCTGTTTACACCACGGAGCCAGTTGTGGAAATTCCACATTCCCATGGCGAGAGTAAATAGGCAAACCACGGTGCTGTAATTTGGACTTGGAACGCACACGCTGGTTTCTGCAAGTCATTCACATTGAAAGATATCATTGTTGTCGATCTGTATATGTGCTTTATAATGATTTGTGTATTCCCAGAAGTTTGACTATATCTCAAGGCTGCAGTCGGGAAACAGTGGCTCCAACAGCAGCTTTGTGAGCTCCAACACCAAAAGTGAAAATAATTAAAAGGCCAGCACTTGTCTGTGGTGAGCAGGGACAACTCCTCGACCTTAGCTGTCCAGATTCGAGCCCTACCACGAAAAAACGAAAAAACAACTGTCCAACCAGCATCTAGCACTAACCCTAGCCCAAGCAAAGTAGTCAACCAGCACTTGTCTGTGGTGAGCAGGGACAACTCCTCGACCTTAGCTGTCCAGATTCGAGCCCTACCACGAAAAAACAACTGTCCAACCAGCCTCTAGCGCTAACCCTAGCCCTAGCAAAGTAGCCAACCAGCCTCGAGCACCAACCCTACCCCGAGCCCGAGCAAAGTAGTCAATCACCTCTAGCACTAACCCTAGCCCTAGCAAAGTAGCCAACCAGTCTCTAGCAGTAACCCTACCTCTAGCTCTAGCAAAGTAGCCAACCAGCCTCTAGCACTAACCCTAGCCCTAGCCCAAGCAAAGTAGTCAACCAGCCCCTAGCACTAACCTTAGCCCTAGCAAAGTAGCCAACCAGCCTCTAGCACTAGCCCTAGCAAAGTAGCCAACCAGCCTCTAGCACTAACCCTACCCCTAGCTCTAGCAAAGTAGCCAAGCAGCCTCTAGCCCTAGCCCTAGCAAAGTAGCCAACCAGTCTCTAGCACTAACCCTACCTCTAGCTCTAGCAAAGTAGCCAACCAGCCTCGAGCACCAACCCTACCCCGAGCCCGAGCAAAGTAGTCAATCACCTCTAGCACTAACCCTAGCCCTAGCAAAGTAGCCAACCAGTCTCTAGCACTAACCCTACCTCTAGCTCTAGCAAAGTAGCCAACCAGCCTCTAGCACTAACCCTAGCCCTAGCTCTAGCAAAGTAGCCAACCAGCCTCTAGCACTAACCCTAGCCCTAGCCCAAGCAAAGTAGTCAACCAGCCCCTAGCACTAACCTTAGCCCTAGCAAAGTAGCCAACCAGCCTCTAGCCCTACCCCTAGCC